ACTGAGTTGTTCTGTTGACTTATGCATGTTAAGTGAAGATTATAATTACCTGTGTTAACACAGAAAGGAAATGGGAACTTTACATTTTTTAATTCCCTGGAGCTCTCATTTTCAAGAGATACCCATTGCTAACTTTGTTCAATAAATGTGACTAAACTGACACATTTAAAATTTCTTTAAAAGCTGCATTTAAGTTAGGTTTTAGAAAATGCATGTTATTGCCTAAAAACTGACAGTATACTTTGAGATTCTTTGTCTTTGATTGTAGTTTCTCTGTGGTTCATATCATGTTTTTTTCTTTTCTTTTCTTTTTGAGATGGAGTCTTGCTCTGTTGCCTAGGCTAGAGTGCAGTGGCGCGATCTCAGCTCATTGCAACCTCTGCCTGCCAGGTTCAAGTGATTCTCCTGCCTCAGCCTCCCGAGTAGCTGGGACTACAGGTGCCTGCCACAACACCTGGCTAATTTTTGTATTTTTAGTAGAGATGGGATTTCACCATATTGGTCAGGCTGATCTCAAACTCCTCCTGACCTTGTGATCCAACTGCCTCAGCTTCCCAAAGTGCTGGGATTACAGGGTGAGCCTCTGTACCCAGCCTATACCACTTTTAAAGTTTCTTTGCACCATCTTAACTCTTCCCACTCATAATCACAAGTGAATGACTGGCAACCAAACACTTAACCACATACAGATATTTATTATTTAATAGAATCCAAAATAAGTGCATTTTATGAATTAAATAAACAGAACACCAAAAGGTTCATTTCCATTTTTCTGTTAAAAGCTTTGTGCTTAGCCAGGTGCAGTCGCTCACACCTGTAATCCCAGCATTTTGGGAGGCCAAGGCAGGTGGATCACCTGAGGTCAGGAGTTTAAGACCAGCCTAGCCAACATGAGGAAAGCCCGTCTCTCCTAAAACTACAAAAATTAGCCAGGCATGGTGGCAGGCACTTGTAATCCCACCCACAGCAACCCCATTACTATACTAGGGGTATACCTGAAGGAAAATAAATCATTGTAACAAAAAGATGCATGCACATGTATGTTCGTTGCAGCACTGTTCACAATAGAAAGACATGGAGTCAATCCAGGTGCACCCAACATAGATTGAAAATCCAAGGTAGATTGGAAAATTCCATATATACCATGGAATACTATGCAGCCATGAAAAGAACAAAATCAGGTCCTTTGCAGCAACATGGATACAGTTGTAATCCACTCTCTTAAGCAAACTAAGGCAGAAACAGAAACCAAATATCTTGTTTTCACTCACATGTGGGAGCTACACATTAGGTGTACGTTGGCGTGAACATGGGAACAGTAGACACTGGGAAATAAGAACGGGGAGGCACAGAGTGGGCCAGGATTGAAAAACTACTTCTTGGGTCCTATGCTCACTACCTATGTGATGGGTTCACTTGTACTCTAAACCTCAGCATCCCTCAATATACCTTTGGAATAAACTTACACAGGTTCCACTTTAATTTAGAATACAAACTAGAAAATAAAAGAAAAATGTACTATAAAAATATTCTTTCTATAAGTAGAGAATAGAAATTTCTTTTTAAGAAAAAATTTATTGACGTAAAAAATGATTAAACTTTTTATAAAGGGCAGAGTTTTCCTAAGAATTTCAAAGCAATGCATTCATTGCAAAATATGACTTTAATTGTTTAACGTTTTTTTTCTTTTTATCTTTTGAGATGGAGTCTCACTCTGTCACTAGACTGGAGTGCAGTGGCACAATCTCAGCTCACTGCAATCTACACCTCCTGACTTCGAGTGATTTTCCTGCCTCAGCC